AATAATGATAATTTTATATTAAATCATTTTAATTTTGTTGATATAAAATTTAATAATATTATAAGGTTTTCAATTTTATTAAAAGTATAATTTAATCCGAAGATTTTATAAAAAAATTTAATTATTTTATTGTTTTATACACTTTTTTAAAAAAAATTATAATTAATTACATTAAGAATAAACATGTTATTATTAAAAGTTTAAACAATACTAAAAGATTTATTTATTAAGGTTTTTTTGTTATAAATAAACAAAACTTTTATATTTATTAAACTATCTATAGGTAAAGTGTTTTATGAAAATATACTTTAAAAGCTGGAAATTATGTGTCTTCTTTTTAAGTAATGAAAATAATAATTATACAAATGAAAATCATTTAAATTACATTTTGAAATTATTTTAAATAAATTTTTTAACCCTAATTTACATTTAATGACTGATTTAACTAAAACTAAAATAAACACTAATTATGATGAAGAAGATATTAAAAAGTATTCCAATAAAGATGCTAAGTTCACTGTTGAGTTTAACGATGGAATAATGAAGGTTCAAGAAGATATTGAAATTGAATTGTTTTTCGATGTAACTCCTAAAACTTGTTTAAATTTTGCTAAGTTATGTGAAGGTGTAGACATTGAAGGCGTTCATCGTTCCTATCAAGAAATTAAATTTCACCGAATTATTAAAGATTTTATGATGCAAGGTGGTGATATTGTTAATCAAAATGGAACAGGTTCAATAAGTATTTATGGTCGAAAATTTAATGATGAAAACTTTGAAATGTGTCACTCCGGACCTGGTTATGTAAGTATGGCTAACTCTGGACCAAACACCAACGGTTCTCAATTCTTTATTACCTTCATTAAAACAAGTTGGTTGGATGGTCAACATGTTGTGCTTGGTAAAGTTAAGTCTAAGTGTTTGCCAGTACTTACAAAGATTAATAATCTTGCTAAAGAATCATCAGCACCTTCTTTCCCTGTCATCTGTTCTAAATCAGAATTGATTAATAAAGAATAAATTTGATATGTATTTTTCCATATTTGATTTGATATTTTTTTTATTGATTAACGACTCCTTTTTAATGAAAAAATAATTTTAACAAAGGAGAATAACATGGCTATTCAAACAAATGCAGACGATCAAAGTGATATTTCTTCAATTGATGAGCATGATATAATTCAGTATTATTTAAATGATTCTTTACCTCCTTGTGAAAATAAATGCATTAACACTGTTATGGATGACATCAATCATTGTGAAAATTGTAAAGAATATTTAAAGTTAAATTTAACTGAAAAATATTCAGGTAACAACTCACTATTGTTTAAAGAATTAGGTTTAAGGAAAACAAAAATAAACATTAATACATATGAACTCAGACTTGAAGAGAATGAACATAATTTTAGATATAAAGTAGTTGATAATCCGAGTAAATTTAGAAAATTTACTTTCATATCTGATCAGTCCAATAGGATTTCAAATATGAAAAGTAGAGATAGACTAGCTAAGATGTTAGCATCTGAAATAGAGAAGGTTGAAAACAACATGACTAAGGATTATGAGAAAAAATCCGAAAAAAAGTTTTTTGTTACCAGATTAAACGCTATGAAACATATAAGTACTAATTTGGAAATATTTGATTTTAAAATCTCAGAAATTTATGGAAAAATGATTGTGAATACTTCTTTATTAAAAAAGACACATACTTATGTTAAAGTTAATGGCGAGTGTATGTATGTCTATGATAATAAACCTTTAACAGTTGATGATACAATTAACTTTAATAATGATGATTATTTTATAGATCAGAAAGATGAGTCAATCTGTTATAAATGTATTGAAACAATTCCTTTATCGAGAGCCAAAATTTATCTATCATTAGATATTGTTGAATCTTACTTTCCCTGTTGTATGAATTTTAGAATAAGTGGTAGAAGTACCTGGACAGACATAACTAAGTCAAAAATATTAACAATAGATTCAGATTCTAAACACAAAATAAGACTTGAAGAAGATCATAAAACTAGAACAATTCATATTCCAAATTTATTACTTATTTTGGAAAGTGAAGAAAATGCAAATATTTTTACAATTGATTCAGTTAAAGCATTTTTTAATTGGATAAACGTTATTCAGAACAGAATTAAAACATAACAAGTATAAAATTGTTTATAAATAAACAACCTTTTAAAACATTGTTTTAGATTTTTATATTTAAAAAAGAATGGATTTGTTTTAATGTTAAATATAGGATACTTACTATTAAATTTATTAGATGCTAAAGATGCTAAATTAGACAAATCTAAAGAGAGGAAGAAGGGAGGAGGTGAATTGGAAAAAAAGTCTGATCTGGCAGGTGAAGATAATGTTGATAATTTCATTAGAAAATCATTGGTTAATAACTTAAAAAATAATTTCGTACACAAAAGTTTTTATCGACCAAATGACATTTTCAATAAAATGAGCGCCTTTAAATCATCTAAAAAAACTAAAAAGAATAAACATAAAAAGAAAAAATCTAATTTAAAAGAAGAGTCCTCAGAATACTCTGATTATAGTAGAGATTCAATTACTGAAGATAATTAAATTTAATTAAAAAAATAATTTTTATGTTTGAGAATGACAATCAAGAGGAGCAAGATGAAGTGATTAAAGAAGATTTAGATAAACAAGATTATGTGATAATTAAACACCCATTCTTTATTAATGATCAGAGTGATATTAATTTAAAACCAAGTGAGAATAAGTATGAATATAAGTTTACTGATACAATTGAATCACCTTTTCTTCTTTCAAATTTAAATGGAAACAATTTAACCGTTTATTTAGAAATAGAAATAGATGAAGATAATAACGGAAAGATATTGAATAATTATAGAAATATACAAAACTTTGCTAAACCTGCTGATTTTACTGTACCCATGTCTGAAAAAGCAAATAAGTTTTACGCTAATATTGATAAAATATTGAATTTGGGAAATATTGATGATTTGGAAGAGTTTGCACCCATGTTTGAGAAATTTTCTAATCGGAATCAATTTCCAGATATTCCACCACCCCAAATATTTGTAGGAGGACACATGACCTCTTTTAAGATTGAAGATGAAAAACCTCTAGAAAAAAATTATTTCTATTGTAAAGGAATTCAAATCAAAATTACTGATGATATTCCTACAAATCCCACTAAAGAGATTGTAAACCTTATCAAAGAAAAACTAGAACCTGTTACTTTTGATAGACTGGAAGAAATTTTTGAGAATATAAAACACATTAAAATGTTCAGATATAAGGAATTACCAACAATACTTTCTAAAAACAATATTAACTATGATATTTATTTAATTAGAAAATGCATACCTCTTTACTACTATTTTTATTTAAGTGGTCCCTTTAGAGGATACTGGGTTAGATATAATTATGATCCCAGAAAGTATGTTGAAAACTATCAAAATCAAATCTTATATATTAAAAAGAAAAATATTAAGTTGTGGGTCAAAGACAATTCTGTACTTATTAAGGAAATAGAAAAGAATAAGAATTGGTTTTTGTACGATAACTTTGACATTAAAAAAGGATTTCTATCAGATGCTGTATATGATTTTGTTGAATATTTAATGAACTCAGATAACCAGGATGTTTTATTTGAGTCTGAAGAAGATGCTGGAATATTTGAAACATTTGACTGAGATTTTTAAAGCAAATATTTTAATAAAATTTTAATGAATTTTTGAGTAAAATTCAACATCATGATCTACTGAAAATTGTTCCTTCAAATAAGAAGTATAAAACTTCTTCTTTAAAAGACCTTCTTTAACGGCTGATTCAATAAGTTTTGAAGCTTCAGTTTGTTTAATTTCAATATCTTTTGATGAATCAATATCAGAATAATTAAGTTCTTTTGGATTAACATCAAATGTTCCAATTTCTACTCCTGGTGTATTTAACTTAAAAAGATACTTTTCATCAATAATCATTGGTCTTACTCCATTAACATCGTATACTCCACTAACTACTGCTTTAAATCCAGAAAGTTGTTTAATAAATACTACTTTAGAACTTACATACTTACCTTCAAGAATGACAACTAAATCACCTGGGTTTAAGTCTGTTCTCATATCTCTTGGTACTGGTTTATGCTTCTCAATAAATGATTTCTCAACCGCAGAAAGATCTCTAGTTTGATATTTATTCTGTTCAATAAAGTTGATTATTTTTGGTGTAACAGTCTTAGTCATTTCTATGGGTTAAAAAATTTTTATAAAAAATTTAATCAACTAAATAATGCTGTGAATGTCTATGTTTTCTATCATTATTTAACTTATGATTATGAATCTTTGATGAGTGTGAAGATTTTTTCTTTCTTGGTTGATTAAAATCAACACTACTACTTGGTCTAACATGTGATTTTCTAAATCTATTAAATTGTCTTGAAATAATATTTGAATCTGAATTTGAAAAAAATGAATTAGAATCCGAATTTGAACCAGAATCAGAATTAATGTTTAAACCAAAATTAAAATCAGAAGAATCTGAATTATATAATCCAGTTTCTTCAGCAAAATTTTTCGCATATTTTCCTAATGAAGGTTTTAAATTACTCTTTTCAGAAAAATTAAAATCAAATGATTGTAAATTGTTAGTATAAAAGATCAATGTATAAGAAGCGCATACATTTAAAATGTTTAAAAAAACGTACATGTTTTAAAACAAATAATAACAATAAATTTATGATCCAAAACAAGGTTTAGAAACATTATATTCGATTGATAACATTTAAAACAAATTAAATATAAATGTTTCATTACTGAATAACACTTTCTATTAAATTCATTTCTTCGATTAATTTCAAATATTTTTTATAATCAAGAGATAAAATACTGTGAATATACTCTTCGTTGTTTTTGATACTTTTAATGTTTTTACAGACACAAACATAAAGTGTCTTCTCAATCATTTTAAACTCAGCCTTTTTTAATCTTGTTGCCAGTGACAAATTAAATGCGTTATAAATTGTTTTAGAAAATGATTTTGGATCAATAATAAGCTTAAAATATTCTATTTTTTGATTTTGTTTTAATATTAAATCAATTTTTTCTATTTCTTTCATGGCTTCTTGTTCATGTTGTTTATCGATATTTTTGAGAGTGTTGGCCTCAGCTTTTTCAAGTGCCTCATCAACTCGTTCTTTTTCTTGTCGCTTTCTTTCAATTCCTTGAAATCCTATATTTAGTATATCAGCAAATAAACATTTCGATTCACGCCTTTTACAAAACTCAAAAAATGTATCAAACTCATGTCTGTTTATTATGTCAAATATCTTCTCGTTGGTAAGTGATGGATTGAATTTTTTAAACATTGACTCATATTCAGTTTTTATTGTTTTTATTACAACTCTAATGTCATTTTTAAACTCAGTTGTTGAGTGTACATCACTCAATAACTGATTTAAGTTAAAAAGTATTTCTTTCATAATTGATGGACAATCTAAAACTAACTTTTTGTTGTTTTCAAACCATGCTAGCATTAAATTATAATCTTTAGGAATATCTAATTCTTTTTTGTCTTTTAAACTCATCGAACGGTGAATTCTTAATTGTTTTTTTGATAAAAATTTTAGAGATTTTTATGAAGTTTGCAGCTTTAGTAAGTGGTGGTAAAGATTCAGTGTATGCTATTAAAAAATTGATTGAAGAAGGGAATGATTTAGTTGCTTTAATACACATGTATAAAGAAGGCAATGATTTTACTGATTCGTTTATGTATCAAACAGTTGGGTCTGAAATAGCTAGCTTGTTTGGTGAAGTAATGGGTGTTCCTTTATTTAAATATAAAACTTCTTGCAAGGCTATTAATAAAGAACTGACCTACAATGTCACTAATAGTGATGAAGTTGAAGATCTATTTAATGCTGTTAGTAAAACTCTTGATATAGTAAAATTTGAAGGAATTTCTTCAGGTGCCATAGCATCCACCTATCAAAAACTAAGAGTTGAATCAATTTGTGAGAGGTTGAATATAAAAAGTTTGGCACCTCTTTGGGGTGTCAATCAAAAAGAATTGATAGAAGGAATGATTTCTTCAGGATTAGATGCACGTATCGTAAAAATTGCTTCTCCAATATTCAATAAGTCTAATATTGGAAATAATTTAATTGAAATCTATGAACATGTTAAAAATAACAGTCAATTAAGTTATGATAAAAACTTTAATTTTTGTGGAGAAGGTGGTGAATTTGAATCAGTTGTTTTTGATTGTAAAGATCTTTTTATTAAGAGAATTGATTACGAAGATTTAGTTATTGAAAACCATCCTGAAGATGATAATAAACTTGAATCTAACAGAGTTTATTACGGTGTATTTAAAAATCCATTTGTTATCAATAAGTAATAAATTTAATCATCAATTTGTCTTTTAATTTTACATTTTAAGTGATATAAAACATTAAGAAAATTAACAACCTTTGAATCGTTACTCTTAGAATAAATTAAAAGAGTAACTATCGCAAATTTAAAAGGTTCACAGGTTTGATTATTTCTGAACATTTCTAGCATGCTGGGTGGAGTTTCTTTTAAATCGATATTAAATGTGGTTTTAATAAATACTTTGGCTCTTTTAATAATCATTTCATAAAATTCATCAGATTTAGGCTTAAAATGGAAGTTATTTCTATAATGTTTTAGCAGTTTAAAACGATTGACACATGCATATTTAACAAGATCATCAACTGTAACTGGAATGTTATCACGTTTTAAAAGATCAAATAATATAATCGTTATTTTGACTTGCAGTGAAATTTTCCCAACGAATTGTTTAGTATGAATGATTTCAAGAATTTCATTTTTATAGGTGGTTTGATTAAGAGGTGTTAAAATTAATTTAAGCATTTTGAGAGTTCGAATTTTTGGATCTATAACACTAAACTTAGTTATTTGTTTAGGTAAATTAGTGTTATGATTAATTTTATCCCATATCAATTCATCCCCCTTAATGTCTAATCCACAATCAATACAATATCCATGATCTAATTCTACGTGTTTACAGATCAAATCACTTATATTTGAAATTTCATCTTTAACATGTTCTTTTTCTTTTGATTGAGAATTCATAAAAAAATAACCAATAAAAAAAATTCTATTTGATTTATGATTTTTTTAAAAAGGAAAAAAACTTTGTTACTAAATAACAACATGACAAGGAAGATAATTATTTTTGGAGGCAGTGGAAATTTGGCATTAAAAAAACTTTTGCCAGCACTTTACAACTTAAATAAAGAAGACTTGCTTATAATTGCTTACAGTAGATCTGATTTGAAGACAACATACGATGTTAAAATGTGTGAATTTTATGGAGAATATTCAGAAGAGTTTATCAACAAGATTATGTACATACAAGGTGAGTACAAAAATTTATCAGGATTAAAAGAAATTCTTGATCAGGAAACTGTTTTATATTTCTCAGTTCCACCTGAAGTTTATCCAGATATTCTAAAGAACATTCATGAAAACCAATTCCAGTATAAAGCTATCGCAATTGAGAAACCACATGGTTCTAATCAAGAATCATTTAAAGATTTACGTACGGACAAGCCTGAAAAAATGTTCTTTATTGATCATTATCTAACAAAAGAACTTTCATTAGCATTTGACCAAATTAGGAAAGATAAAAAAGAAATGTTTGATCTGTTAACAAAAGATAATATTCATTCAATAGAGTGCTATTTTAATGAGAGTATTACTGCGCAAGGTAGAAAAGCTTTTGATATGACAGGTGTAATTAAAGATACTATGCAAAATCATCTCATTGGAATGTTAGTGACTACTTTAGCTGAAAGTATGACGTTAGAAAAAAGGATGGAAATTCTCTTATCAATTCAACCAATCACTTCTCAGGTAAGTTTTGGACAATATGAAGGATATGCACAGGAAATGGATCATCCTTCAAATACTGAGACACATGCATCATTTTCATTGGCAATAAATGCTCCATCTTTATCAGGTATTCCAATATTCATGTCTGCTGGTAAGGCATTGGCTTGCAAGAAATCAACAGTTGAGTTTAACATTAAGAAAGATTCAATTTGTAATTTTTTTAAGTTCATACAACCTGAAGTTAAAAACTGTGAATTTGAACCTTCTTCTGGTAAATTGGTTTTTACTTTCGCGCCTGAATCGAAAATTACATTAGAAGTTACAGTTTCAAAGATTTGTGAGTCTCATCTGCTAGTAAGTAATGAACAAATCAGAGAAATAGTAGATGCAAGGTACCAACATCATCGGGATTATGATCTTGTGCTCAATAATCTTGTTGAAGGTGCATATTTCCCAGCATCTTCATATGATGAAGTTCAGGAGTGCTGGAGAATCATTACACCATTACTTGAGTCTAAAGAGGATTTAAAACCTTATCAAAAAGGAGTTCATATTCCTAAAGAGGCATTGGAATTAAGAAAGAAGAACATTGATTACGAATAAATAAACTTTATTCCGCCACTTTAACTATTTCATAACTTTCCATTTTTGATTTGGAAATTTTATCACTTTTCTTTTCTATCTGTATTTTACCAATCACACTAAACTTGTATTTTGTCTTATGTGGTGAGCTGTATTCTTTCAATGTCCCTTTAACTAAAAACACAACTGATTTACAATATTTTAACAGATGAATTGAGTAATTAAAATCGGTTATTTTGATATTTCTTGTTAAAGAAGGTTCAATAATTCCTAAATCAAATATTTTTTCTTTAAATATTAAATTATTTTTCGTAATATCAGTTTTTATTATGTCAAAAGGGATATTAGATATGAAATTAGTTGTATCTGTGAACTCTTTATTTATCATACAAAGGAATTCAGTTGTATAAAAAGATGCACCTAACACAAACATGCCACTAGTTGAATTTAAAACAATTGTAAAATTAGATATTTCATTTAAAATAGTAAAAAATTCATAAGTTGTTTTACTGTCAACCGAACCTTTTAATACTTTAAGCTTATTTAACTGATTTCGTAATTCTCTCATCTTTAATTAAAAAAGTTAAATAGCAAATAAAATAGAAGTAAAGTTTAATTAATCAAAATGTTCTCTCAATTCATTAAAATCCCATCTACCTACTCTTGTCCATCCATTTTCATTCATAAAAATTACATTAACTGTACCACCAGACATAGCATCTCTGTGACCCGCTCTATAAATTGCTTCTTTACCCAACTCAATAGCTTCCTCTTTTGTGAGTTCATGTCTATACTTAGAGTTTAAGACACCAATTGCAATTGGGCTACCACTTCCTACTGAAAAAAGATTATTCTCTATACGTGAACCAGAATCATCAACAAAGAATATTTTAGGTATTTCACCATCATAACCACATACCATACTACCCACTGATAAACCATATCCCTTATATCTTCTTAAACAATCTACCAAATACTTTGAGGCATTGCTTACCGTTATTCGTTTTCCTGTTTCCAGTTCATATCTCTTAGCATACAGACCCATCTGGCCTTCCCAATAAGCACAGTCGGCTGCACCACCTGCCATTGTTCCTAATAAATGATTGTTAACTTCAATTACTTTGTTTACTGTCTGACTTGCAATATATGAACCAGAAGTAGCCCTGGAATCTACAGCTATTATCATACCACCTTGAAATGTAAATGCTAATGTAGTGGTACCCTTTGAGTATTTAATGTTATTTTTCACATATTCTTTATCTATTGCAATATTATCTATTTCTGTCTGGTCTCTTTCTTTTATGCTAAACATTTTTTATTTATAAAAAATTTAATTTTATTTCTAATTCCTAATTAAAAAAATTCATTAGAATTTGTTAATAAACAATAATTTATTTAAAATACTAAGTTTAACTCAAAAAGTTATTTTAATTAAACTTTAAAGAAAATAAAATCAATAAAATTTTTTTGCCTATAAAATTTAATGGAAGAATTGAAACTCAAGTTATTTAAAATTGGATTTTATGGCACAGAAATGAAGAATTTAACAAGTGATGAACAGGAATTAGCATTAAAAGCAGACTTTATTGAAATAATCACAAAGGAAACTCTTAATCATTTAAAATCGAATTTTACAAATGAAGCACTTCCTAATACAACTGATATCACAGAGGAAACAATAGCAAGATTGAATAACTATATGTGGAGAAACATAGGAACAAACAACAAGTTTTCATTTAATACAGAGTTTAACTTTAGAATATTAAACTACATTGTTTGTAATGAAGGTGATAGTGAAGGCTGGATTAACACATTAGACATAAGAAAAAACCTTGAAATTGATCCCAAAAGAGTGTTTTATTTTATAAAAATTGCAAAGAACAATAATTTAGTAGAAGAGAAAAAAGTTAATCATGAAACGTTTATTAGGTATATTGTTTTTAAAAATAATGATCCATTAATTCATGAAGGACAAGATGAATCAGATATTAAGGATGTTTTTGGACCATCAATTTTAAATGAAAGTGGAATGGCAGAGAAAATAATTATTGCAAGAAATAAGCCAGTTTACTACACATATTATGATATAATTAAAAATACCACAGAGGGAGTAACAGCCTCCACTATAGCTGAATCATTTGGAGAGACAGTTAAAGGATCAGGTAGAATGTTATCAAAACTTATTTCTAAGAACAAAGAATTTAAAGTATGTAGTGAGGTGGTCTATAAAACAACAACTAATAGAATCTTTACTAAAGAAAATTATGAGATTTATTTACAAAAAAAGAAGGATAGAATTATGGGAGTGGACACAGATTATGATATTGAGAATTTGTCAACAGCTGATAGAAAATTGTTAATACAAAAAATGGTTGAAAAGTATGGAGCATTTGCATTTGATAAGGAAATTTTAGAAGAAATGAGAGAATTGTGTGGGTACAAACATTCATTTGATAATAAAAGTCTGTTAGTTATAGCAAGAACAATGGATAATGTTAAAATATTTGATGTTGAAGAGGGTAACAATGTTAAACACGTATTAGCTAGAAGTGATCTTGAGATCAATGATTTAGAAATTCAAGATGCTATATTACAATCATCATATCAGTCAAGAGTTTTGAGTGATTTTCAAATTAAGATTAAAAAATTCTTTTTACAATCAGAGAGAGTGGTTTATAGGGACAATGGATATCCTGCTAATGAAGCAGGTTCTTTGTATAATTTTTACAACTTTCTTAAATCAAAAGCAGATGAAAATGGCAATGTAAAATTTTTCTTTAACATGATATTGAAAATGACTGTTAAGGAATATGCTTCAATTAACAAGATATTGAGACTTCATTTTAAACAGTTATTAGCTGCTCGTCTTTACAAGAGTTGTAACAGGGGTATTAAAGAGTTGTTTGAATTTAAAAAATTTAAAGATGTTTTTTTTACATTTGATATCTTTGTTGACGGTGATTATAAGAAACACATTCAAGAGCTTGCAGCCATGTTAGATGATATCCAAATCAGTTCTTTTTACCACTTAGCTGGTTATAAAACTCGTCAGTTCATAAAGTATATTAGTCCTAACCAATATTCTAATAAGATTAAATCATTATCATACATGTACAATCTACTTGAATATGAAGAAGTTGATGGATATTTTAATATTAAAATATTAAATATCGCTGAAAGAGAGAAAGATTTAAAACAGTCTATTGTTGAAATTCCACACTTATATTATCCTAATCGTATGAAATTTGTTGACAGAATCATTGATTTTGATGAGAGTGAATTTATTTCAAAAGCTATTGAAGAAGCACAATCACTTAAGTCAAATGAGGCAATTCAATTTTATATGAATTTAATTAAGAGTTTTTCAAAGGTTCATTTATCTGATGTTAAGACATTTAATATTTTAAATAAAAGTAACAATCTTGGAAAGAGAGCTGGTTTAATGTTAAAGAATCTCTATAAAAGAATTAAGTATGAATTAATGATTAATCAATTTCTATGTATTGATGATTTAAATAACATTGCCAATGCTTCCAACTCACAGGTGTATTTATTAGATGTAATGAACATGCTTAAATCAAAATCAATTATTGGTAAAATATTTGCAAATAACGTTAGTAAGACTTCTATATCAGTATCTTTTAAAAATAAGTTTAAAATTAAAAATGATAGGACTGGTGACATAACTGTTTCGGCTGAATTAGTTGATGATCGTCAATATTATGACATCTTCTATCCAACAATTAGTGATTTTGTAGAAGAAATGGGTTCTATTGACTTGATTGAATTAACTAACCGTTTAAAGTATTTAGAAAATTTTGAGTTAGAAGAATTCTTTCAGATTTATTCTGAAGAGTTTACTCTCAACAAATATGATTCATTCACTGTTATTTCTAAGGAGATTGATAGCAAGAACATTTTTAATGACTTTATGTAATAAATCAGTTTATCAAACGATTTTTTGAGAAAATTTATTTTGCCCCATAAAATAAAATGATAGATATTAAAAAGTTTATTAAAGATACTAGTAATATCCCAGTGATTATTTATGGTTCATCGGGGAAAACAAGACTGCTCACAGATTTATATAATGATGCTATTGTCATTGATGCAAGGGAGGTTGTTGATATTAGAACATTGATTGGATTTTATAAAGTCAAAGATTATTGGATTGTTTATGAAAGTGGTGTGCTTATTAATGCTATGAATGCAGGAAAAACGATAATTTTCAAGCGAATTGATAATAATTATGAACTTCTTCAGTTGCTGATTCCTGTAATTAGTAACAGATCTATTGTTAATGGATTAAATGAAGAAGTTAAGGCTAACAATAATTTTAGAATATTGTTTACGTCAGCAACTGATCTTAAAATAAATGATACTGTAAGTTTTGAGTATAAAATTGAAAAGGATGAAATTCTATTAAATATTGATGAACGGATAAAGAAAGTAATAGATGATTTTAAAATTAATAATTTAACGCATAGACAGTTATATAGATTAAGCGATGTGAATTTGGTTAATAATTTTAGTTGTTATCAATCAGTAGTTAATATACTTTTATCTCCACTTTTGGTAAATAGTATAATTTCTAATGATAGAATGGTCACAAATTTATGTAAGATGAATATTAAAAAGTTAAAGGATTTGTTTTACATAAAAGACAATGTTGATATTATTGATAATAAGATTGTTAAAACTAATTCAGTTATAAACTGCTTAAATAGTTTAATCTTCAATATTAAAAATAATATACCTACATTACTGATTGGTGAAACGGGAACTGGTAAGACTACAATGATTGAATATTTGTGTAACTATGCAAAAGAGTTATTTCATATAGAATCCAAGTTTATGATTGTTAATATGTCTTCTGATTTCGATAAACAGTCACTAATTGGTGGTTATCAATCAGTTAATAAGAAATTAATTATTAAAGAATTGTTGATTGATTTAAATTTGACTGATAATATTGATAAGTTTTTGAAATATAATTTAGACACTCAAATATGTATTTTATCAAAATATCCTAATAAAGAACTTGCTAATAAAGCAGTTAATCTATTGAAGAACAACCTTCCGTTTATATACAAGGAAGGTATTTTAACTGAAGCAATGAGGAATGGAGATTGGATTTTATTTGATGAAATTAACTTGGCTTCTGATGACACTTTAAACTTAATTAATGCTATGATAGAAAAAGGAAGTTTCTTTAATGAAGATGGTGAAATTGTAAAAGTTAATAAAAACTTTAGAGTTTTTGGGTGCATGAATCCTTGGAATGATTTTGGTAAGAAAAATTTTAATACTGAAGTATTTAACAGTATTTATTTTGAAGATTTTTCTAACAATATTGATGACATCAGAAAAATAGTTAATTTTTATCTTAATAACAAATTTGGTTATGAAAAAGAGATTACGCAATTTATATATGATTTCAAACAATCAGTAAACGAGATGAAATACATTGGTACATTAGAACCGGTAGTTTCAGGTAGAACAATATGTAGAATGCTAAAATTTATTGTCTATAATTGTGATATAGAAATATTTAGTATAATTTTTGAGAGTTGTAATTTGTTTTTGTTTACACAGTTGAATATAAATTCTAGAATGCAGGCTGTAAAACATTTTAATGATTTGTTTAAGACTAAATTTAGTTTAACTTCAAGTTCAGTTGGTATTAACAACTTAAGTGATTTTGAAAGTAACTTTTTTGTAAATTTTAAATTAGAAATTATCATTAATGACATATTGAGAGCTATTGATTTTAACATACCGGTTTTATTACAGGGTGCAACATGTACTGGTAAAACATCGTTGATTTATGAATTAAGTAGGAAATTTAACAAGAATGTTATAAGGATTAATAATCATGAACATACGGAGTCTTCTGATTATTTAGGAAGATACATCAATAAGAATGGTGAGTTTGTTTTTGAGTATGGTCCTCTTGTAAAAGCGATGATAAATGGAGATTGGGTTTTATTAGATGAGTTAAACCTTGCCTCATCAGATGTTCTTGAAGTACTTAATAGGGTTCTTGATGACAATAAAGAAATTTACATACCTGAAACTAATGAAATTATTAAGAGCAGTAAGGAATTTAGAATATTTGGTACACAAAATCTTAATTATGGTGGTAGACATGGATTAGCTAAAAGTTTTAGAAACAGATTTATTGAAATCACATTTAATGATAAAAGTGGAGATGAAATTAAAGAAATTCTTGTTAAAAAGTGTAATTTGCCTAAAGGATTTGCAAATGCAATGGTTAAAGTGTATGAAAAACTTAGAAGAATTAACAGTGATTTAATTTCTTTAAGAGATTTACTAAAATGGGCTAATAGAAACATAGAAGATTATAACTCTTTGTTTAATTATGGTTTACAATTAATTTTAAGTAGACAAAGATCAGAGAGTGATAAGAAAGAGATTATTGAAACATTTAAAAGTTCTTTTGATGAATTAAAGAAATCAGTTAATTATACGCCCTTCAATATAAATGATAGTCATTTAAAAGCAATAGAAGAATCATTTCCTAATTTTATACTCACTGATGCAATTAAAGAGTTGATTCATAACATCTATGTTGCTGTTAAGAACAGAGAACCGATATTGTTAATTGGAGAAACTGGTATTGGTAAAACAATGATATGTGAAATAATAGCAATGTTATTTAATAGAAAACTCGACATGATTAATATGAATGAAAATATGGAAGCTTCTGATTTGATAGGTCAGTTTGAAATGGTTAATGGAACAATTGTTTGGAATGACGGTGTATTGATATCCTCAATTAAGAATAATAATGCTTTGTTAATTGACGAAATTAATTTATCAGATGATTCAGTTCTTGAGAGATTTAATAGTTTATTAGAATCCTCTAAATCACTCTTTATACCAGAAATAGATCAATTATTTGAAGCTAAAGATTTTATTATATTAGCAACAATGAATCCTGCTGGTGATTTTGGCAAGAGAGAATTATCTCCTGCTTTGAGAAGTAGATTTACTGAAATATACTTTGAATTATCACCAGAAGATAAATTTATTATTATTTCTAAATTAGGAAAGAATATTGAATTATATAATGAATACAAAGATAAGTTTTTAGATTTATCCTTTAATCATTCACTAAGAAAGTTAAAGTTAATCTTAGATCATCTTAATATCATTCAACAAGATTCAAAATTTTGTAGTTTAGAACTGACAACCATTTGGAATGATTGTTTATCTTTAATTGGTATTGATTATAAATCATCAATTAATTACTATAAAAACTTTAATACTAAAGAGTTTATGTTTACTGGCTCATTGGTTAATTGTAATAAGATACTTCGTGCTATGTATCATAAAAAGGGTATTTTATTAGAAGGGCCACCAGGTACTGGTAAAACATCATTTATTCAACATTTAGCAAAATATTATCAAAAGAAGTGTTTAAGGATTAATTTATCAGAATCAACGGAAATGTGTGATTTATTAGGTTCATATATACCAATGGGAAATAACATTCAGTTTGTGTTTTCTCAGTTTATTAATTACCTTAAAGAAGGTCACTGGATCATTTTAGATGAAATTAACTTGTGTTCTCAAAGTGTAATAGAAGGATTGAACAGTATCCTTGATTATAGACAAGAAATAAGAGTTAATAATCAGATAATTAAGGTTAATAAAGATTGTAGGATTTTTGGTACTATGAATCCAACAGGTGTAATGGGTCGTAAGTACTTGCCAAAAAGTTTCTTAGATAGATTTATTCACTGTTCAATTGTTGAGTATACAAAAAATGATATTTGTAAAATTTTAAGGTTTAAATTTGGTGAAAATTTTAAATTTAATGAAAATGCTTCTTTAAGACATAATATCATAATTAACCAGATGGAAATAAAGAAATCAAATGACAATGAGAAAGTTGTTTTTAGTGATTTAGATTTGAAAGGAATATATGAATATTTAGACAATGATGTATTTAAGATTAATGATGTTGCTTTATCTGATGTTAAATTATCTAATGATTTAATTATAGTTCAAAATCAAGTCAACAATTTATGTGAAGCTTTAAAATGTTTGTTAAATGATATTCCAATTATTCTAACTGGTAACAGAGGAAAAATGTCTTTTGTAAAACTTTTAAGTAATTTAATGAAATTTGAATTAATTAATTTTTATTGTCACAAGGAAGTTGATGTTACTGATTTACTAGGTCAATTTGTTAAGAATAACAACAATACAAGTGATGAAGATTTATTTATCTGGAAGGATAGCATGATTTTAAAAGGTATTAAGAAACGAACACTGATTGTATTTCATCTTCCTGAATTGGTTGAGAAATCTGTTTTTGACAGGTTGAATTCAATTTTTGAAAATAACAAAAGTCTTAATGTTTACGAAAAGGGATATGATATTGAGGTTGATATTTGTGATGATTTTAGGGTAATTTTGATATGTGATAATATTGAATTGTTATCTAGTCCTATTAGAGATAGATGTTACAATATAAAACTTAACGACGAGTACAATTCAATTGATATCTGTAAGATATTTAACAAACCTGGTTTTGACTTAATTAAGAACGTAAAGAATATTAATGAATGTAAATTAGAAAATAATAAAAACCAACTATTTCTTGATCTTTTCTACAACAACTACAGTAAATATGGATTACCAATTGAAAATTTTATAAGAGATACAGACATTGAAAATTACATTAAACAGTATATCCCAATTGACCAAATTCCTACAAAAGATAGTAAGGAAGTTGAAAAATATTTGAATATAAGAAATTTTATTAATTATAAATCAAAAACAGATTCTGGAGTTTTTATTGTTTATCTTCTTCAACATTGTAACTTCAATAGACCAATTTATTGTAGAGATGAGTTTAGTTTGACTAATTTAATTAAATGGTATATCGAGGACTTACCAACTAAGAAATTTAAAGATTATGAGGAATTAATATTCTTAAGAGATGTATTTTTAAATATTAATTTTATTGATTTTGATAAAATTGACTCTGCTGATAAATATGAAAAAGATTTTGAAGCTATAATTGATTCACCTATCGACCCTTTAAATTATTACATTGATCATCTTGATTATTCAAAAAAACTTGCTGTTTCATTAATTAAAGAAAAAATGAGGTCTTTCATTAAACAATTGTATAAAAATAGAAAGTTAGTTGATTTAGACATTAATTATTATTTAAATAGAATTGAAGAAACGGTAATTAAGCATGATAAACAAATTGAGGAAACCAAATTGCTTATTGAAAGTAGAGATTGGAAAATTTTTAGAAAAAATGTTGATTTTAGTTTGTGTGAGTATTTAGGTAATAATGTTTTTAGAAGAGAGTTTAGTAAATTTGATGATATCTTATCTTATAAGCTTTCATTATTAATTAAACATAAGGATGAATGTGAAAAGTGTGTAAGGCGATTGAGTAAAGATTTTACTAAAGTGATTTCATTGATTGAAAATAATATTATTTCAAATATAATTTTAAATGAATATAATAAGTATGTTTTTGATAAATTAAATAACGAAGAACCTAAACCATTTGAATTAATATTAGAAACTTTAATAACAGAAGAAAATAAGAGTAATAACAATAATCTTTACAAAATAGAGAATAATGAAATAGTAAAATCAGACAAATTATTTAATAATGTTAATATTGATAAATATATGCAAGATTGCTTAAAGTATATTTTCCCATCTAAAACTTCATACAAGGTTATGGAGTTTAGAGAAAATAAGATAACTGTAAGTTATGACTTTGTTAAAGAATACCAGCAGTTAAATAATTTATCAATCTATTCAACGATTGATTCAATAAGTAATGTAGTTAACTTGGATAATAATAAGATCTTTTTAACTTCGAAAATCTTCAATTATGAACCTAACTATAAGTATTATTTGTTTTTACTCTTTAATAACAGTAATCTCGAATCACTAGAAGAATATTTATTAAGTTCTTCAGTTTATGAATTTATTGACAAATTGAAATTAACTATCAAATTTATTGAAAATAGAATTAATTGTTTAACTTTTAATGATTTAATGATAAAAAACTTTATTTGTTTATATGCATCACTTAATTTGTTGGAAAAACATGAAAATATTGTTAAAAAGTCAAAAATTGAGTTGAAAAACAACCCGAATGATTATAAAAGTATCATTGCTAATTATAAAGATAGGTTTATGTTACAACCCATAACTAAATTGTTAGAATCACTTGAAGTAAAAATTGAGATAATAGATAGATGTGAATGTAAAGATGAGGTTAACAGAGAATCAAAACTTTATAATATTTTTACTAGTATTAGATCAAAGTATAAATTAAAAGAAGAAGAAAAAAGTGAATGTATTTGTAAAATATTTAGGAGATTGAGTAATAGTATGATCACTAAGAAAAAGAGTTTGTCTAATATTTTTAGCAAATTTACTGATAAGAATATTGAATTGAAAAAAGTATATTTAGATAGAAATATTACTTATCCATTTAATGTAAACGATTTAAATGTAAGTAGAATGTTTTATATTTACAATAGAAATAAGAATTTTAACATATCTAGAGATAATGAAATTATTGAAATGTTAATATCTGAGGTAATCATAAGTAAGTACTTTAATAGTCATTTTCTTAATTTAATTGTGTCATATACAGAAACAGTAGAAGAAATTATCGAAGAAACTAGAGATGATTTAAAAAATGGAACAGGGATTGAAAATAAAAATGAAGATGTTTCTAAAGAAGACATACCTGATGAGTACAATGCCAATAATTCAGTTGAAGAAGAATCTGAAGCACAAGAATTATCTAATAAAGGTGAGTCAGAAAATAATAATGAAGAAGAATTAAATCAAAATGAAGAACAAGATCAAAAGATAATTGAACAAGAATCTTCTAATACAGATTCAACAAAAGAAGAGGATGTTTTTAATTTAAATGAAGAAGAAGATGTTGAACCAGAAAATGATTCTAAAGAAGAAGATTTTGAATTAAAAAATGATTTTAAAGAAGAAGATATCAAAACAGAAAATGATTTAAAAGAAGAGAATGATAATTTATTTGAATATACTTGTAAAGAAAGTAATGAAATAAAAAATAATGATAAAGGAGAAACAGCTATTAATTATGAAAATAAGATTATTGATAAAGAAGATAATGAAGGGGTTGATTTAGGAATTGATTTAAGAGTAAAAGATGGAGAAATGAAATTAGTTGAAGATAATTTTAATAATGAAAATGAATTAAAAGATTTAGAAAGTGGAGGTTTTGCAAAAAAAATTAAAAGAGAAATTAATATTGATAATTTTGATAAAAATCCGCCTGTTAATTCACTAACTAATTTACTTAAAACAATTATTGAAAATAATAAGAATTCTAAGTATAAAGGAAATTATAAATCAGGTAGAAAATTAAATATGAAAGCAATTGTTCCATACATAGCAAGTGGGTATACAAGAGATAAGATTTGGATGAAAAGATTAAAAGCTGATAAGATTGATTTAACTATCAGGATTTTCTTTGATAATTCGCGTAGCATGTTTAATGAAACACTTTTAACTAACGCTTTTAATACTTTCTATAAATTGAAAAAAAGTTTGTCAATTTTAAATGTGAAGACAGAAATTTACAAATTTGGAAGTAAATTAGAGAAGATTGATAACGTAAATCAATTGAATTTTGAGGATACACACACTTCAGTAAATTTCATAAATGAGAAAGAATATGAGACTGGTATTAACATTCTAATAACTGATGGTGTGTTTAGTTGTTTTAAAAAGAATAACTTTGGATGTCTAATAATGGATGTAAAAAATATTTTACAAATGACAGGTGTTACATTTGTAGATAACAAAATGATCATTGAAAATTATTTAGACACTTTCCCATTAAGTTATGAAATATTAAAAGAATGTAAAGACATTGAAACGAAAATAGTGAAATTGATTAAAAAACTAATTTTAACCTTAAAAGAATAAATTGACTTAAGCAGGTTTATTTGAACACTTCACTAACCATGGGGCTGTTATTTTCTCCAATCTTAATAATCCATTTGAAAGCATTGCCAATATCAGATTCTTCAACATCATTCATTCTACCACCCTTTGACTTTTCTTGTTCATTTTTAACAGAACAAACAACAACTTTAGTCATAAATTTCTTATCTTTCAATTCTATTTCATCGTTTTTAATTTGGAATTTATTAACAACTTCATTAACTCGATTGTTTAATTCTTGATCGTTGTTTATTAAATCTGATTTGTTTAATAGAAACAGAATTGGTATTCCATCTTTAACATCAGAAGAAATTGAATAAAGACTGTTGTATGCCTCTCCATATCTATTAGAATCTGCAATATCAATCATAAAGATTAGACCGTTGATATTAGTAACATATTTATCCCAGAATTTTTTAATACCAGCTTGTCCACCCAGATCAAAAACTTTTAGTTTCTTATTGTGGACGTTTATTTGTTCAATACTATACCCAAGTGTTGGCTTGATAAGTTCGTTATCATGTTTAAAGAGGCTTATCAAAGTAGATTTACCAGCAGCATCCAACCCAATAATTGTTAGGTCCAATTCTTTATCACTGTTAAAAACCTCTAGAATTCTTCTTATTCTTTTAGTAGCATGAGATATAGCGTTACCCATAAATAATGAGGGCTATTAAAATTCAAATAAAAATTTTAAAATCACTGAAATTTATTTTTTAGTTTAAAAATAATAAATCTGATTGAAATAAATATTTTGGTTTGTAACAAATTTAATTATTATTTTTAACTATGAAACTATAAAAAAATGTTAGTTAGTAATTTACTTTTATTAAATGTAGAGCCTTATAACTGTGAAATAACCTGTCTTCCTTACCAAGTTGATTTACAGCCTAGTTTTAATTGCAATACAATGAAAGATTTATTATCAATGTCACCAAATAATCAAAATAACATTAATCCATTAACTTGTGATATAAATCAATCTAATTGTAATCTTTTTAATAATAATTTAACAACTAGTGGTTTATTTAATTCAAATTCAGGAGGTGGAGATTCTTTATCAAATAATCCTTTTTCGAATAATCCTTTATCAAATGATCCTTTATCAAATAATCCTTTATCAAATGATCCTTTATCAAATAATCCTTTATCAAATGATCCTTTATCAGATAACTCTCTATTAAATGATCCTTTATCAGATAACTCTCTATCAAATGAACCTTTAGTACAAGTAATTCCATCAAATTCTATGATGATAAGTCCTGGTACTGTTGTATTAACTAAGTATCAATATGTACCTTCTATAACAACTATTGTATCAACTCAACCTCCAGTAACTGTTAATTTACCACAACCCACACTTACAATACAGTCCCCACCATCAACTTTAACTACAACTTTACCACCTATTTTTATCACTGTTAAAACTACTGTAACTAAAACTGATCCAGGCTTTACCATTACTAGTACTATTCCACCTGTGTTTATAACTCACCCTGCCACAACATTTACTGTCATTCAACCATATAGATTACCTGATCGTACCATTGTTGAT